CTCCGGCGACCCTTCCGCCTCAGCCTTCTGAGTAGCCGGAACTACAGGGCGCACGCTACCATGCCCGGCTAATTTTTGATTTATTGTAGAGATGAGGTCTCGCCAAGTTGCCCAGGTGGGTCTCGAACTCGCGGGCTCAGGCAATCCATTCACCTTAGCCTCTCAAGTTGCAGGATGACAGGCTGAGCCACCGAGCCCGGCTTCTCTCTCTCTCTTTAAAACATGAATTGATTTAAAGAGAGAGCTTGAGTAAATGACAGTGCAAAGGAGATGAGGATTCAGCCCCAATCATGATACGATTTGAGAAACCGAGTGCTGACGGAGACCAGGTTCCAAAGGAGACAGGTGCCTCGGCCATGCGGTCCTGCGAAGGGCTGAGCGTGGGTGCGGTGACCCAGCAGGCAGGGGGGTGCTCCTGGCTAGCTCTGAAAGGGACACTAGGAGCCATGGAGGAGGCCGGCCACGCTACCCATGCTGGAATAGAGTCCCTGCCTCTCCTGTCCACCCTGGCCTCTCCAGTCCTGGCACATTGCCTGGCACATAGCAGACGCTCAATAAACACTTGTTGAATAAATGAGCGCACGGAAGAATGACTGTCTCTGAACCATTGGAACCAGTCCTATCTCTTCCAGTGTGAACATCAAAGTGCTGCCCAAGACGGAAGCAACTTCTGGGGTCATCCGGGGCAACCCGCCGTTGCAAAAATGGAAAGCGGAAGCCTGGAGGGCAGAAGGCATTTGCCCAAGACACACAGTCAGTGGGCCGGGGCCGGGGACTTCCCCCTCGTGACTAACCCTGTCTACACATCCACCCGTCCCTTCTACATCCGCATGACCTCAGCCTGGGTGGCGGTGCTGTGGGCTGAGTGGGCGCAGATAGGAAACCAACTCTTGGCACCCTACCCTGCCAGAAGAGGCAGAATGGCCCCCCACCCAGAGGCTGCGCAAAGGAAGGCTTTCTGTGTCGTGTGGAAGGTCAAGCTGCACCACAGCCAACGACCTTGCTGCCTTGGGGTTCTGACCTTGGCGCTGGAATTCTTGGGTGGGGCAAATGCTTCTCCTACTCCTCAAGCCACGAGGCTCCCGGGCTGACCCTGCAGCAGAGACCATGGAGAACAGAATCCTAAAATCCTTGGGCTCAGTGGCGACCGTCGCCATCTCAGGGAGGCCAACGCTGACCTCCGCCAGCACCGGCGGCACCTCTGGCCACCCTCACCTGCTCCACCTAATGTCCTTATTCCTTTGTCACTCGAGTTATTGATCGTCTGCCTCGCTTGACCAGCCTGAGACCGCCACAAAGGCAAGGATCTCTGTGTGTTTTGTCCACGGATATATCTCCAGCCCCCAGAATCATTCCTGGCCCTGAGCAGATGGTCAACATTCATTGGATGGATGGATGGAAGCATGGATGCTTGGATGGACCAGTGGGACACGTGGAGGCAAAAAACGCTCAAGGGAGTGTCTTTGGCCCTGGCCCGGCGGACTGTCTCGCTGTGGGACCTCAGGCAGGTTCATGCAAACCCGAAGGGGTGTGGGTCAGTGGGGTGGGGAGAGCACGCGTGCCATGGGCAGCCATCCGGTCAGTGCCGGCCACGTCAGAGTCACTCATTGTCATTCGTGGAAGAGTTGGTCATCCCACAGGCACGGGCCCTGTGAAGGCTTCCGAGAAGACTCAGGAGTCGGCCATTCCTGGAAGGTGGGCTGACACCCCGAGAGGAAGTGGTAGGCGTCGGGTGCGGGGGGTGCCAGGAGAGCACTGGGCAGCACCGGGCAGCGCAGGCCACGCGGGCGGATGCAGGAAGTGGCCGCGCACACCCGCGGGAAGGAGCAGGCGGCCGCATCCCCACGGGCGGGCTGGCTGGGTAAGGTGCATGACCTCGCTCACAGAGGGGAGGCGGGCTCTGGGGGGCTGGCCCCGCCAGGGCAGGGCGACGGCCAGGGCCGTCTTTCTTTCCAGCAACTGCGCGTCGAGCAGAAGCTGGGTGGCACGCACTGGTCTGGGCATGAGGGATGCCAGGACGCCTCGTCTGCCGCCAGAGGGACGCTCACAAGAGTCAGCCCGAGTTGCTCTCCGGCGAAATGCCCGGACAGCCCTCCACCGTGAAGACCAGCCCGCCCCTGTGGCCACGCTCCCAGTCTCCAGCCTTCTCGCCTGCCTTCTTGTGTTGTTCCGGCGTGGTCGTCTCCTCCCAGTGCTCTAGCTATGCCTATGCAGGGCCTTTGCGCGCGCGGCTCTTTCAGCTTGGGGGTGCCTCCCTCTGCGCCCACCCTCACTTCTTTTTTTAAAAAAATATAATTTATAGGGCCGGCCACGGTGGGTCAAACCTGTAATCCCAGCACTTTGGGAGGCCGAGGCGAGAGGATTGCTTGAGCCCAGGGTTCGAGACCAGCTTGGGCAACTTGGCAAGACCTCGTCTCTACAATAAAACCAAAAGAAAAGGAAAGAAGAGAAAAGAAGCATAGCTTTAACCGGGCTCGGTGGCTCAGCCTGCAATCCCAGCACTTTGGGAGGCCGAGGTAAGTGGATTGACGGATCCTGCAGGTTCGAGACCAGCCTGGGCAACTTGGCGAGACCTCGTCTCTACAGGAAATAATCACACAAAAATTAGCTGGGCGTGGTAACTCATGCCTGTACTTCCTGCTTCTTGGAAGGCTGAGGCGGAAGGATCGTGGAGCCCAGCGGGTTGACTGGGGTGGCTGTGAGCGTGCCACTGCACTCCCGCCTGGGTGACAGAGTGAGACTCCAATGCAAAAAAAAAATAATATATATATATATATATAATAAATATATAAATATATATATACATATATAATTTATTTTTGTAGTGAAGAGCAAAACTCCGGTGGTGAATATAGGAAATCATATTAAAATATTTAAGATGTGCAGCAGTCGTTTTAAAAATAGTTAAAAGGAAGATAAAGCAAGCTGTAGAGCTTGTCCTAATGTCTCTCTGCAGACTCAGAAAGACAGACCGGTGCTTTATATGTCAGTAACTACATGGAGCAGACACACTTGTGATGCGTGAGCTTTCATTCCGAGCTGCCGATTAAGAACAGACGGGCTCCGGCCGTCGAGGCTCTCCCCAGATGCCGTGTCCCTGGAGAAGGCTTCCCTGACCCCCAGCAGGGCGGGCCCTGACTGGCAGACTCTCCAGACACCCAGGGCCTCTCTCCCACGCCCACACAGCATTCGACAAGTTGTGTGCTTACTCGCCTCATGGCGGCTTCCACCACTGAACATCAGCTCCACATCCACAACCAGCCCAGAGAGCGCCCCGTGAGTCACTGTTTCGTGCAGGATGGATCACAGCCCACAGGGGTCCGAGGGGACATTCAGACCACCAGCTGTCATTGTGCATGGAAGTGAATGCTTGCTGGGAGGGCTGTTGGGATATGCTGGCAAGGTAGAGAAAAGTTCTTAACAAAGTCATGATAGTCGGGGTATTACAGGATGAATAGGAGCTTGTTGGGCAGGAGGAGGGAAATCCCATTAGAAGGAGTGGCAGGGGCCAGTGCCTGGGGGACTGATATTTAGTCTTCTCAGCAGCGGAGTGAGGGCTGGTGGGAGATCGCCGCCACCACTGTCCACCGCCTGCTGTGTGCCAGGCACACTTGCTGCAAAATTGCCCGTGATCCTCAGAATCCCTCTGCCCTGGGAGGCGGGCATCCTTTCCCTCTTTTCACAGATGAAGAGACCGGGCTCAGAAGGGTCAAGCCACATGCCCGGGTCACCTGGCCACGAAATGGCTTCCCTGGCCCTGCGTCTCCAGCATCCTATGTCATGTACCTGACAGGGCCTCCGAGGCCTTCTGTGTCCGCCTGTGTCGTCCCACACCCACCCGTCAGGTTGGGCAGGGAGGCCGTGGTGTCAGGGACACACTCGGTGGGGACCCCCAGCCCTCGCAAGTCCGTGGCCCTGTGCTGGGTCTCAGCCTCCCCCACTCGCGCCCTCTCCAAGAGCAGCTGTGCCCTCCGGGCTCCCGCATGCCGAGCACCGACCGCCGCGCACTGGCCTGGCCCCTCCCCAGGCCAGCTCGCCCACCAGTCTGTGCCGGTGCCCCGGTCGGGGAGGACACGCTCGTGGGGACATGCTTGCCGAAGCAGCTCGAAGAGGTGCTGAGCAGTGACTCAAATCTCAGGGCCGAGTTCCGTGCGGGCCACCCCCTCCTTCACATCCCGGCCAGAAGACGAGGGCTCCTGCTGCCCGCGGCTACCCCGGAGGCCGCCCAGAGGTCACTTCACCTCCCTGAGCCTCAGTTTACACATCTGCCCTACGGATGCCCCTCCGGGCTGCCTTCAGAGCCGCCGTGACCGGAACACAAAGGGCACCGTGTACCGTGACTGCCAGACACCCCCAAGGAGGGGCAGCGGCTGCCAGCTGGGGCTTCTCCGCGCCAAGCCAGGCAGATCCGCACCTCCCCAAACCCTGGGGAGTCCCTGCAGGGGGATGGGCACCGTGCCTGAAGCGAGACCTCCGCGGGTGGCCCCTCGTGGCCACAGACAGCCCCTGCAGTGCCAGCTTCCTCGGAGCCCACGGGGAGGAGCGCGACCCTCGCCTCAGGAAGAGGGAAACGGGCTCAGAGAGGGCGTGTGGCTTTCCCAAAGGAAGCCAGTTCCAGGACTTGAAGCCAGGTCTCCCTCCAGACCTGAGACTTGCTGTGGCTCACACCTTCCCCAAGATACCCACCACGCTGACCTGGGAGGCGGGGATGGCAGGGAGGAGTGTCGTTTATTAATTTCACAAAACCCCTCTGCCTGCCGCAGGGGGAGGCGGATGCCACCATGTGGGTGAGGCGGGGCCCCTCGTCCTGACATTCAGAGGGGCAGGGAGGGTCTGAGGGAGGACCCGTGCTGGGCCGAGAGCCCGTGATGCACTCATGTGGTGGCCTGTGGCCGTGGTGAGGACGCATGCCCATGGCCTGTGGTCGCCATCCCAGGGAGAGAAGCACCTTCAGCCCAATCCGCGGCCGGTCCGCAGCCCCTGGGAGCTCCCCTTGGTGTCTACTGGGGGCAGAAGACCCTCCCCAGGAAGAGGAAGGCCGGCAGTTTGCTGTGGTAGACCATCAGGAGGAAAGGCTGGTTGATCTTCAGGTGCAGCGGCGCCTCCATGGGCAGCGTCTGCGCGCCAGAGCCCGCGGCCGCCTCCGTCCCCTTCTCGTCCATGATCAGCTCGGCCTCGTGCATTGCCTGCGGGGGCAGAGGGCGGGCGGTGCTCACCAAGCCGCCCAGACCCCCGGAGGGCCAGAGGCCAGAGGGGCTCGGGGAGGGAGACACCAGTTCCCTCGGCTGGTGCCGGCCACCCCAGGGTTCCTGGCTCTTCTGCGCCATCGCTGGAGGGCATTCGACAGGCAGGCGCAGTGTGAGGGCAGAGGGGTGTGGGGAGCACGAGGTGGGGGGCGAAGGGGGCTCGCGATTCCTGCTGTGAGTCCCAGGGAGGCCGGCGCCTCCTCTCCGTTCCCCGAAAGGGTCTGCTGAGCCGTCGCAGACGGGAGGGAGGCGGCGGTCCCCGCCCAAAGCCCCCCACCTCCGTTCACCATCTGGTGGATGGCTCACGGGGAGCCAGGTCCCGGGTTAGCTCTTTGGGGGGACTCGGACCCCACATCCACCCCGATGCGCTGGGAAACTGACGGCCTCTGGGGAATACTGGTGCCTTTCCTCCCAGGCTACGGAATTCTAGCAATTCTACTTGCGGAAAACAGGCCAGTATCCTGTGTGAGCATCACAGCCACGGGCACCCAGAACTACAGGGGGTGGCGTGCATGGATGGTGCGAGGTCTGTGGCAGGAAAGTTCAAATGGGAAGATCCACGGCCCACTGTGCTTGCTTTTTCCTCTTGCAAACTGAAAAGCACTGCTACATCCGGGCCCCTGGTCAGAGCAGCTGGCTGGGCTCTGCCACCACCCCCCGGGCCGGCTGGAACTTCCCCTCACCTGCCCTCAGCACCTGTCGGTCCCCACCCAGGAGACTGCACCTTCCCTGCCCTCCAGTCTTGGCCTCCACTGCACCCCCTCCCGGAAGGAGCCCCCCACGTCTCTGCCCGTTGAAATCTTTCCCCTCCTCCAATGTATGTAACCCAAAAGCAGGGGTGCCAGAGAAAATATAGGGCTCCCAGCTACCTCTGAATGCAAGATGAACAATAAGCATGTTTCCGTGTCAGTATCTCCCATGTAGGCTTTGGGAAACACACTAAATATATTCTTCCCTGTGTGTCTGAAATTCCAGTTTAACTGGGTGCCCTGTCTTGCGTCTGCTGAGTCTGGTGACCCTGACCCTGGGGGACACCCTGGCCGAGACCACAGGGCCTGTGCTGGGCCAGCTCTTCACCGAGGAGACCATGCTCGCCAGGTGCCCCTAGGAAGCCTGCGAGGCCTCGGAGACGGGTGGGTCAGACCCCTCCGGCCCTGTGGCTCTTCCGGGCTGTGATTGGCATTTGTGGCGTTGATCCATTTCCAAGGTGGCGCCGACTTTAAAGCCTGGAAACATGCGGCTTGGGAGGTGGTGGGGGCCGCCCGGGACCCTACGGCCGGCGCGCGGCAGAGCTGGAGGCACAGCTGCCCTGACTTGTGGGGGGACCTTGCCCACCCAGCCCCCACGACCGTGGCTGGGGAGGCTCCCTGGGCTGGGGCGGAGGGGTCCGGCGTCCACGCCCAAGCTCACCTCGCCCACTTTCAGGCTGCGATGAGGGGAGATTCTCGTGAGGTCGCCACGCTCCTCGAAGATTTTGGTGACACCCAGGCTGGAGAGTGTCTTCTTCAGGTCGAGGGTCCCCCTGATGTGGAGTCTGGGCACAGACACGCGGACCACCCTGGGGAGCGGGAAGGGCACCGCTGAGCGGTAGGGGCCTACTGTCCCAGGGCAGGCCGCAGGGCAGGCGGAGAGCGGCTGCATGGGACGTCCGTCTGCCAGCCCCAAGGGTCTTGGGGTTCCCTGTCCACTCCCAGAAGCAGGCAGGCTCCTCCACTCAGGACCCCAGACTCAGAGCACCTTGTGCTCCCTTCCCACCAGCCTGCCCAGGGCCCTCGTCCACGGAGCACGTCCTCAGGTCCCCACCGCCTCGGTTACAGTGGCTGAAGTTGTCCCCACGGCAGTCTCTGCCGCACCCAGGCCCGGAGCCAACCCTAACCCCGGCGACCTGACCCTGGGGGCAGCAGGGCCCTGGTGGGCTGGAGTCGGGCAGAAGTGAGCTTGGATCCTCCTGTCAGGAGCTCGGTGTCCCGAGGTCACTCGTGTGAGGAGGCGGCGATGGACACCCACGGGCACTGAGGCTGTGCATGAACTGACAAGGCGCCCGCAGACAGTCGGCGACCAGCCGGCGTTCACGTCTTGCCCTGGAACCAGCAGCGCCCCTGCCACTGTGCCGGAGCGAGGCCAGTCCCCCTGCCCAGGGAGAGGCCCAGGGCCCCGAGGCACCCGCAGGCCAGACTCCTGCTCCCTGGCCGGCACCATGCCTCTCCTCGCCTGCCCAAGGACCTCGGGTTGGCCTAGGCGTCTCCTTGGTCCTTCCCGGGAGCAGGCCACGTGTGAGACCCACCCCCATCCTGAAAAGCCAAAGCCAGCCCGGGTGCCCGAGCGAGACCCTGTCTCAAAACAGAAAAAAGTCAAAACTCAAAAACATGCCCTTGCCCCTGGTCCTGGCTTCATGCCTCTGGCTTCCGGCTCACTGTGCCTCCAGCTCACGTGTGGTGCGAGCGACATCAACACACTGCAACGTGTCGCCTCGACTGCTTGTCGCCTGACACAGCCTCAGGCTACTCCCACAGGCCTGATCTCCGCTTTCCATAGGAGTAGCTCTTTCAAGGATTCCCACTGACGTCCTGCTCCCTGTGCCCGAGAGCTGACCCTCGGGGAGCTGCCCCGACCGACCGAGGACCCCCTCTCCCGTGGGGAGTGTCCGACCCAAGCCCACCCTCGGGGACCCCCCCAAGCCTCCTCCTCCCGCGCCCGGCTCTCGCCATCTCTGCCACCTGTGCTCACGCTCAGAGTGCCTCGTGTGCTCTGGGTTCAGATTCGCCCTCTTCTCTCTTCTGTCTTCCACCCTCCCCAGGGATGCCACTCAGTCTCACGGCTTCAAAGACCATCAACAGGCCCGACTCCCAAATTTGCCTTTCCACTAAACAAACGTTTACTCAGGGCCTGCTGTCTGCCAGGTGATCTAAGCACTCGAGACGTATCTAACCTATGTATGCGTATGTGTGGTATATGAGAAGGCAAGAGTGACATCAACACACCGCAACGTGTCGTCGGAGCCCATGCCATGTACCTGTGGGGTGAGAAGGCGCAAGTAGCCGGGCTCGTGGCTCAGCCTGTAATCCCGCGCCTTTGGGAGGCTGAGGTGAGTGGATTGCCTGAGCCCACGGGTTCGAGACCCGCCTGGGCAAGTTGGTGAGACCTGGTCTCTACAATAAATCAAAAATTAGCCGGGCGTGGTAGCGCGCACCTGTAGTTCCGGCTACTTGGAAGATCGAGGCGGAAGGATCGCCGGAACCCAGCAGGTCGAGGCTGCGGTGGCCGGGAGCGGCCACTGCACTCCAGTCTGGGCGGCAGAGTGAGACTCCAACTCAAAAAAAAAAAGAAGGCGCGAGTGCTACAGACAAACAATGACGATCAGCTGTGGGATTAGGTCTGTGTGGTAAGCACAAGTGAGCAGGTCCTGGAGGAGACGAGGGGCCGGGCGGATTGGGCTTTTTTCCAGAGTGAAATGGGGAGTCATCGCAGGTTCTGGGCAGAGGAGTGACGTGGTCTCGCCTGGGATCTAAGAGGCTTGTGCCGTCGGCTCAGTGGGGCATCCACTCTTGGTGCTGCATGGGCGGCGGGGTCAGCGGGAGGCTGGCGTGTCCTGGATGTTGAGAGCCACAAGATGGTTGGAACGGACCACACTCCAGACAGAGTTTAACGCAGGGTTCATGGGGCTTCCGGATGGGCTGAACAGGGCGCTGGAGGGGTCAGGATGACCGCAAGGCTCTTAGCGTGAGCAACCGAAAAGACAGAGGTGCTATGACTGCGACGGGCAACTGGAGGAAGCCGCTGCTGGAGCTGGTGCCTGTCCCATGCTCGTGGGGCGTGCCAGTGGACCCACGACAAAGGCGGCCCCTGGGAAAACAGAGCCTTTCCTCTGGGGAAAGAGGAAGCAGCTGGCCTCTACTGATGCAGATTCAAGGCTGGCGTCTGCCTCCTCACAGAGGCCAGGCGGAATCATCTTGGCCTAAGTGCCAAGACGTTCTCCCGCGTGCACGTGGGGGTGTGTCTCTCGGGTGGGTGTCGGTTGACTTGGTTCCTTCTCCTGGGGAAAAGGCCTTCCAGTCTTTTGGGCTACAGAACACACAGGAATAGCCCTTCCCTGGCCCTCTCCCACAGGGGACCCCTGAGCTGGTCTGGACCCGGCTTCCTGCCTACAGTTCAAACCAACCTGACAGCTTGTCTCCCAGACCGGATGAGCTCAGAAGGCAGGAACGCCATTGGCCTGCCATGTTCTGATGAAACGCAATTCCCCGGGGAGCCTGGGTAAGTCCACTGCCCTATAAGAGGAGATGGAGTTTCCCAAGGGGGAGGAGGACGTGGCCCTGTCATTCCCAGGCCCACCTCTCCTCGCCATGGTCCTCATAACCGCAAGGCACGGAGACTCGCGGAGCAGTCCCTGCGGGAGTGGGTGGGGTGGACCAGATACCATACTCGAGGTGGGGGGCTCCCTGGAAGAGACCCGGCAGGCAGCCTGCACTTGGACTTCATGAGATGTCACTCCTATGAGCTGTAAGTTCTCCTGGGCCCCTGAGAGGAGGGGGCTTTGGTTCTGTTATTCCCAAACCTCCAGGAAGGCTGTGGCTGTCTCTGGGAACTCTCAAAGGATCTATTCCATGATGGGTAAAGGTACGGGGGGCGTGCTGGTCCCATCAGAAGCCAGGGAGAGGGTGGCAGTGCCCAGGAGCATCTCTGTGTGGTTGGTGATGGCCGGATGGCAGCCACACGACCAGGGGCTACAGAGGACCTGGGTGAGGGGAGCACAGGCCCCCAGGGGGTCACCGGAGCCGCAGCCCCATGGGAAATCCTGGCCTGGAGATGGGGGTGGGGTGCACTCAGAATGCCCAGTTCCAGCCAGCAACTGTGGGGTCTCAGGCCACTGTGAGCTGCGTCCTCCAGGGAACGGAATCCGCGGGGTCCCAGCCTCACAAAGAAACCAGGACCTGCAGATGCGAGGGGATGAGGGCCTGGCGTCCTCCCCGTTCCCCGCCCTCCCTCCCTTCCCCGGGCCCTAGGAGCATCCTTCAAGATACCTCTGTGGACTCTAAGGCTCTTTAGGGTGCAGGACAAAAACTGCTGGTCCCTTCCAAGACCCCCCAAGGTCAGCAGACGCCAAGCCTCAAGCCTGCTTCGGCAGGTGAGCTGCCACCTTGGGGTTCCACCCGAGGGTGGGAGGGTCAGGTCTGCAGGGCATCAGCCCGTCCAGAAGCCAGAGGTTCGGAAGGCCTGCTGAGACGGAGCTCGGCCTCTTCGACCAATCCGAAGAGACGGGACTCGCATCGGTGTGTCTTCCAGGGGCCACGTGGTGTTGAGGTTCACACAAGTCTCTTCAGAGTCCGATGAGGTCGGCAGCGCTATGGCCTCACAGCAGAGGCCAGGAAGCCAGGTCTCAGCTAAGGCTAGGGCTGTCATCCAGGCCCCGTCCCCTGTTTCAGCAGCCAGATTCTGCCAACCCGTGCGGCCCCGGGTTCTCAGCAGGATGGGCAGGGGAGGTTATGCAGGACTGCGGTGCCCTCGGGACGCCCTGCCACTCAGCTCCCCCCAAGAACTGCGACATCACCGGAAGCACCCAGAGCTGGAAGTTCCCTCGCGTGAGCTTTCTGCTAGCTCTAGATATCAGAGTCGTCTTCTGAGCTCCTCAGGTTGTGTTCCCACATACAGGAAGGCGTGTCAGTTCAGGTGCCGCCCCCGAAGGGCCCAGCCCTACCCTAGTATCCCCTTTGTGAGGCTCCACCCCTCTTGGAACCTTCCTCGGCGCCCGGCTGCGTGTTAGGCGTGAAGCGTTCGCGGCCAAGACCTTTGTGGAGGTGGACGGAGAATGACGGCAGGCAAGGTGGCCGCGAGAACAGGTCGGGCAAGAGGACGACTGACACCGCCCCATCCAGGTGGAAGCTGCCCTCTGTGCTTTGTCCCTGCTGCTGCTGGCCACCAGGGACCCTGCCCCAGCCCAGCCACTCCAGGCACCGTGCACGCCCACACTGAGATCCAATCCCCAGGACTGAAGCCCAATGCCAGCCCTCACGTCTCCCCAGAAAGCCCATCAGTGTGCCAGTGTCTCGGGGATCCCGTGGGCTCGCTATAAATCAGTTCTAAGTTTATGTGTGTGCTTTACAAAAATATATTTACTCCCTTCAGTCTTTCAAGTATTACTTGTACAACTTACTTGGAACACACTCCACTGGTTTCACGGTGGCACCCCTCTCCTCCCAGGGAACGGACTCACAGTCCCTGTGACACCCGCGCCTGTCCCTTGGCACGGTTTTAACGCGTCTCCCTCCACGGGCCTAGGGTCTCACCGTGTTCCTCTGACTTGTCTCCCAGCCGACTCCCCACCCTCATAGAAGCCCATGACAGAGCCCAGAGAGGACTTGGGTATGAGGCGAGAGCTCCAGAAACCTAGAGTGCAGGAGAGGGAGAGCGGGAGGGAAGGGCAGAAGCAGCCGGGTTACCTTTTTGACAGTAACGTTTTCCATTTGGCAAAGACGTCCGCCTGCAAGCTCGCCTCCACCCGCTTCAGCTTGCCCTTGTCCGGAAGGATGAAGGCGGCCGTCAGGTTTTGCGCGAACGGCATTTCCAGGATGGTGCAGGCGCGCTCCTCGTCGCGGCCCACGGTGTACACAGCCTCATGGGACATCATGGGCACCTTCACGGAGCTGTTTCTCCCCAGAATGAAATCTTCCTCTTTGGTGGCGTTCGGATGGAACTCGTGTTGCCACCTGGCTTAGGATTGGAGGAGGGGACACACAGGGTATGAGCACCTCGAGGGAAAAGAACTCGCCCCTCATCTCTGTCCGCGCAGATCGGGGGAAGGGCTTTGGCTATTCGGGGATGCCCCTGCCACGGCACCGAAGACTTCCGACGAGACAAGCCCAGGCCCAGGGATCAGTTCCCGTAGAGGTCAAGACGAGGGCTGTCCGTCTGAGAGCAGGGCAGTCGGCCGCCATCAGCCCAGGTGCCCGAGCCTGAGAGAGCCTGTCGCTCACGTCCTGACGGGGCAGACCGCGCTCTCGCTAACGGAGACTGGTTGGGTCTGACATGAGTCAAAATGCCTGATCGTACTCTAAGTCAGCCCTATGGGGCCCTGAAAACGACCGAAGCCGGCTGCCCTGGGGGCTTGTGGGTGAGCAGTGACATCCACAGCCGGGTGTCTGGACCCTCCTTTTTGACCTTGAGGTTGCTTTGATCCTACTGGTCATAAGCTCACACCTGGGTCTTTTTAAACCTGCAACCTGCAGAGTCCTGAATGTAAGGTCAACTCCCTGAGTTCAAATCCTGGCCTCGTCGTTCTAAAAGAATGTCCTTGGACAAGTGCTGGAGTCTCCTTGGACTTCAGTGTCCTTATTTGTAGACTGGATATTGGTGGTGCCTCAAGGGTTGCTCTGAGACTCTGTGGGTCATGGTAGCACGGTGTAGTGGTTGTGTATAGTGAGTGTTGGATGGATAGTGGTCATTATCTGCCTTACTAGTGGCACTGCCATTTTTGTTGGGATCACAGGGACTTTGGGAAATTCCACATCCTCCTCTATCCTTCTCTAGTTTGGATAGACCAAGGTTTCGGATTGCCATCTTCTTATTTTCTCTTTGGCTCCCTTGGATTTTGGAAGGCCTCATTTTTATATTTAGTTCCAAGGTACTGGCTTTGTGGGGATTGAGGGGTGTTAGCCTCTGATCTGCCCCTATTTTGATCACCGTGTGTGTGTGTGTGTGTGTGTGTGTGTGTGTGGTGTGAGTAGATGTGTATGACATGGGGGATGAAGTTTGAATCCAAGAACGTCCTTCCATCTTCTTTTTCAGTTTCTCTCCCTCAGATCTGGGGAATTGATAAAGTAGGATAAGGAGACCAGGCCACTCACCGAGTGATCATCAACACCGCAATCAACACAACCACCAGTTCAGCCATCTACCCGGCAGAAAGCACACCGCGCCAGAGCTAAGAGAACTGGGTTCCAGTTCTGACACTCATTGACTGGCGCACTGCTTGGAATTAGTCAAGTTTTAATTTCTCTCTCAGAATTTTCTCTCATCTAAGACACGGGGACAAAATGTCACTTCAACCCATATAGCCAGTGCTGCGTTAGGATAATCAGCAATAACGAAAAGCCACATAGGGAGAATGACTTAGATGTCACAAAGCTCATTTCACATCGATTTGTAACTTAAACCCCAATCACCGCCTCATGAATCATATATCCTGGTACTCTTTTTATGGACCAAAAAAGTGTGATTCTGAAAGATTACCCACACCTGAATTCAAGGTCACAGAGCAAGCAAGTGGCCAACCCAGATTGTTAATCCAAGTCCAGTGACCATCTTCCTCTCCACACCAACATGCCACAAGCCTTACCTTGAAAGAAAATATAATTTGTAAGCAGCAGCACAGTTCCAGGGTCGATTTGCTTGATCAGGTTGTTAATCTTCCCATGAGTTTTCTGACTGACATAGTCATTGATTTGTCTCTGAGTGTCTTCCAAGTTCTGAAAGTTGGCAGAGATGGTTTCCGCACTGTACAGGTTCTTGGCCTCGGTCATAAACCTCCGCTGTGGCTGGAAATTCTGGTCCATAAACAGGGTGTTCCCAATTCTCATCTTGACGTCCTGGGTCTCCCGGTTCAGATTGTGGATGAGGTAATGGAAGCCCTCGTGAAGGTCTCTCTCTGGCATCTTCCTGAAGTTGAGTCCCTTCTTGATCTCGGCCAGGGTGCTGTCCTCTGCCCCCAGACACAGCATGGAGAAGGCCGTCGAGATGCTCAAGGGAGACAGGAAGATGTTCTTGCCAGGGTTGTTGGCAGACAGCTTCTTGAGCAGTCTGAAGCCAAAATCTGCATTCCGCCTCGCAAGCTCCTTGGCTGCCATCCTTCCCGTCAACCTCGAGCCCTCGTGAATGGCTGGTGAGAAGTGGGACTCCAGAAGACCTTTTGCTGGGAGGAGGCTGGCCAGCAAAAGGGCGAGGCCCAGCGTGGGGCTCATTTTCCTTGGAGATTGTCCTGTTAAGTAGCAGACCTGGGGTTAGCAGAGAAAAGAACAAAAGAGCTCCATTGCCCACAGGAAGACCAGCTCAAAGAAGGAACTCCATGCCTGGAGTGTGCTGGACATAATGATTTAGGAATCACTGGCCTGATCGCGTTTAACCTGGAGAACCACCCTGAGGACCAGAAGTCACTGTCCCCATTTCTGAAATGAGAGGACTGAGGGCGGGGACAGCTCTTGTGTCTCAACTCCTTGTTCCCCCACTCCATGGCCCGTGGTGAAGACCCACCCACCGTGTGGACAGGTTACCCCGACCACACCATCACAATGCTCCATCCCTTTGCCGCCCTGGCTGATTTTTTGAAAAGAGAGTGTGACCACAAGCGAACCAATCAATGTCTTCCCCGATAACGCAAAGCCCTCCCGACTGCGGGGCGCCTGGCTTTACCACGTGTCTCTGAAGCTAAGTGTGGCCACAAATTCCACACGCAGAGGGAGAAAGAGAGAGAAAAGGAGATGGAAAGAGGGAAGCGTACGACACCCTGATGACGTCTTTGGAGTCCCTGGACGAAGCTTTACCTCGGTTTCCCAACCACCTTCAGTTTTTAAAAGTTATAAGGGTCAGTATGTTTCCTTTTTAGGGCGGGCTGAGTCGAGTTGGACTTCTCCCCCTTTGGCCAAAGAACCCTGACTAAATTGTAGAACCCAAGTCCAGGCTGGAGTGCAGTGGCATGCACGCTCACGGTCACCCCAGCATCGACCTCTGGGCTCCAGCCATCCTTCCGCGTAGACGGAACTACAGACGTGCAACCACGCCCCGCTATTTTTAACTTTATTGTAGAGACAAGGTCTCGCCAGGTTGCCCGGGCTGGTCTGGAACCCGTGGGCTCGGGCCATCCACTCGCCTCGGCCTCCCAAAGCGCTGCGATGACAGGCTGAGCCACCGAGCCCGGCCCGCTTGTTGATTTCTTTAATTGCACATACTGCTGCCGGCGACGGCTACACCGATTTGTATGTGAGATGAAGGCAGATTTCTTCACTTGGCCTTACTGTTGCGTTGTTTACTCTGCTTTATCCTGTAACTGACATCTTTCCACGTCTGCAGCCGGTGGGAAACAGTGAGCTCCTCAGCAGTGAAGGCTGTTCGTGGTTGCCTTAGACGGGCTCCCCGGAAGCAGAGCCCCAGATGGGCATTCAGGTGCGCGTTGTGTATTCAGGGAGCTTTCCCAGGAGCCCGTACAGGAGTGACAGGAGCCGGATGGGAAAGGGGAGGAGCCAAGTAACATCTAGCCATGGTCTGGTCCACTGCGCGGAGGCTCTCAAGGCTGGCCTGTTGGAAAGACTCCGTCGTTGGTGGCTGTGGTCTGTCTTTAAGATGCGAGGCACGGTGTGTAACTTCCTACCGGCCACGGATGATTGCTTGGAGAGGGGAGGGCAGCTGTGAGCTCTCAGCAGGCAACCGTCACGCCCACCAGCAGGAGGGGACGGCCACCAACATCCCCAGTGTCTGGCACCAAGGAGGCTCTTTCTAGTTGGCTTCTGAAGGAACAGATACGTGAACACCAGGCAGGGCCTGTTCCTAGGAGTGCCAGCTCCCAAGTTCCTTGTGCCCTAACCCTTCTAGGCCAGGCACCGTGGATAGCGCCCTCATCACAGCAGACACTGGTCTTCGAGGAGTTTGTGATGCAGTACTGGAAAATTCCAGCAGATACAATCTGTTGCTCCCTGAGCACGTATTCTTTTTTTTTTTTTTTGAGTTGGAGTCTCACTCTGTCGCCCTGGCTGGAGGGCAGTGGCCACTCCCGGCCATCGCAGCCTTGTTCTGCTGGGCTGCGGCGATCCCTCCGCGTCAGCCTCCCGAGGAGCCGGAACTACAGGCACGTGCTACCACACCTGGCTAGTTTTCTGATTTATTGTAGATACGAGGTCTCTCCAAGCTGCCAGGGCGGGTCTTGAAACCTCGGGCTCAGGCAGTTCCCTCGTCTCAGCCTCCCAAAGTGCTGGGATGACAGGCTGAGTCACTGAGCCCGGCCAGCATGCATTCTTCCCTCCAGCTTCCCAGTAGAATTTCTTTCCCTCTCCCTTGTCCCCTTATCCTCCTCCTCCTCCTCCCTCTTCTTCCTGCAGTCTACCCTCTTGACAGGCAGCCCACGTTCCTCAGGGACGAGGCCCAACCCCATGGAGGGAGGGCCTGATCGCTCAGGGAGTCTCGACTCCCTTGCTGGTGATTGGCTTAGGAGCCTGCCATCATCCAGTCTGTGCAGGTGACAGCTTCTGCCCTGATCCCGTGGAAAGGGTCCGATGGAGGGGGATTTCGGGAGTGTTCGCTGGAGTGTTGGGGTGCTGCCCTCTCCCTTCCCTGGTGTCCTGGGCGGGGAGATGTGGCCGCCAGAGACTCACAGCCATCACACACACAGGACTTCGCAGAGAAACTGGAGCTGGAGCCACTGACAGCCTGGACCCCAGAGACTGCCCTGCCTCGGGACTCCCAGTGATGTCCAGATGCACAGTCAGCGTCTTGAAGCCAAAAGTGTCCTGCAAAGTACAAGTAGCTACGTATTTTTAAGTGCCAGGACCCCCATGTAGGCAAGAGTGGTGTGCTCTGGTCTCCTGCCATCTTCACTGTGTGACATTCTGGAAGACACTTTCTCTCTCTGAGCTTGGGGCTCGCACTGTCCCAAACGACTTTCTGGCAAAATGATCATAGCTGGTGAAAAGCAAGGACTTGACAGGCTGTCTGAAAGAGGCTACAGAAGGTGAATTAGTCAAGCCCATCAGGAGGCTTTAGATACACAGGAAAAAAATAGAAAACGGAAGGATTCAAGCTCAGGTGCCAGGGGGCTGGGCTGCTCACAAAGTGGCCTGGATTAAAAAGAGGCACTTCTGGCTGGACTTGGCGGCTCAGCCTGTAATCCCAGCATTTTGGGAGGCCGAGGTGGGTGGATTGTCTGAGCCCGTGGGTTCGAGACTCGCACGGGCAACTTGGCGAAACCTTGTCTCTACAATAAAATAAGAATCAGCCAGGCGTGGTAGCGCACGCCTGTAGTTCCAGCTACTCGGAAGGCTGAGGCAGAAGGATCACCGGAGCCCAGCAGGTCGAGGCTGCGGTGGCTGGGAACGGCCCCTGCCCTTCAGTCTGGGCGACAGAGTGAGACCCCGACTCAAAAAAAGGAGGAGCTTCTGCTATTCCAGCAGGCACTGTGTCTGATGTGTCGGCGTGGAGGAGTCACGCCCGTCCCTCAAGGATCCGTGAGAACGTTCTTGGCAGGCGCTCGCCAGCAGCTGCACACAGAGCCCATGAGTGACCTGGCAGGAGTTCCGGGATGAGTCCGGGCAGAGCGGGCCCGAGCAGGGAAGGCGGCACGTTCCGACATGCACGGCTAGGAGGCGAGCCTTGGCCATTGACCCCTCGAGGTTTTTAGTACTTGTCTGAGTTTCAGAAACAGGAATGCTCGTGAACTTCTGAGCCTGGGTCTTGGGCTGCCCCCGCTTCTGTGTGTATTAGGTGGTCTGGGCAGGTCTCCTCACTCTCCAGGCTCCCAGGGTCTTTATCTGTTAGGCGGGGAGGGGGTCTCTCCCCACCAGGTGCTGCTGATCCGCTGTCCGTGTCCACCCCCGGGACACAGCCCATACCGGCTGTTGGGTTCTAGCTTCCTCCCATCTCTGCAGGCCTGTGTCACTGCAGCCCCCTCTGGGCCTTCTGCCGGGTGCTGACATCTGGCATCCTTCCCCCAAAAGCTCACACTGGCCCCTCTAGGCCTTTCTGTCCGTCATCACGGGGCCCTAACTGACCCAAATCAGCCGTTGGATTACATGCTTGAGCAGGCTAATTTTTAAAATTCCACCAATTAAAACAGCTGAGCGACTGGCTGTTTCCCAACTAATGGACAGGGTGCTCTCCTGAGCTGAGTAATTCTTTGCTGGGTTTAGCTTGGAATGTGTGTGTGAGTGTGTGTGTGACTGAGAGGGCGTGTGTATGTGTGTGTCACTCATGTTAAATAAATAAGTAAAATTAAAATAAAAAAGAAAAAGAGCACCGTAAGAACCGAGCCCTGTGGCGTGCACACGGGCAGAGGTGTCCCCCGAACGTCCTGCGCCCACATTCCTTATTCATCTGGGAACACAGTTTTCTGATGAAAAGATAAAACGGTGTCTCTCGCCCACCCAGATGTCCTTCACCGGGAAGGCAGACCCAAGCCAGGTGGGAAGCCCTCCGGTCAAGCAGCACAGGGGTCTGCAGTCCACACCGTTCCTCCTCCACTCTGCCTCCCACACTGTCCCAGCCACGCTTGTCACTGGAATAAGCTGATTAAGGCAACAGCAAGATTCGACAGCTGACTTGACAATAATATTTGTGATTTTACAAAGTGCTTTCCTCTCGACCGCCAGCAGTTTGGGGAAACAGCCGGTAAGCGGCCAGAACACACACAGGCTACAGAGGACTGACTCGTGCAGGGTGCTTGGAACCACTTGCGTTAGAGAAGAGGCATCCCTCCCCTCCCCCGGTCGCCCCTCTTGGCCGGTATGTCCTGCCTCTCTTCCCTGGAGGAAGCAGACTGGCTGGGAGGAGTCGCTGTGATATCCTTCCTCCAGCCCGTGAGGCGAAATGTTTAGGATGCCAAGGCAAGCTCCCCCCACCCCCGATGTCCCGGGCCCTAAGAAGGGTGAGCTCGCAGCAGCTGGAATCTCCTGCTAACGGGAGGCCCTTCCCGGACAGCCTGGCTACGCCACCTTCCTTCCCTGCCCCACCCAGGGAGCTCTGACACCCCTCCCCCCAGGTCCCCCACAGAGTGTACAGCATTTGGGTAGACTCAGCACCCCATATCGGGCTGAGAAACTGGGGGATCCTTCTTGAAGGTGTGCTTTGGGCCCCAGCAGAAGACCGTCACCGAGGTCCTGGGCTCTGGGATGGCCAGGCAAGCTCTGGGGTCCCCCATTGCAAGGGGTGGATGTTGTTTCATGAGGACACTACTGTGGGTGTACTAGGAATTAAATTAGTATTGTTGAAAGCAATTTCAGGACGAAGTGCAGTAACACATCCTCATTCCCTGCTTAAAGTCAGAGAAGCCTCCTAGAAGAGCTCTAATGACCACTGTAGGGGGCTTTTTCCTTCTTCCCGGAAAGCAAAGACTGGTGCACACCCGTCATCTCACTTTTTAACTTGTCCCGTGGGTCCCTCCTTCACTCTTTTAAGGAGGACTTTTGGGTCCTCACGTGTATCAGGCACTGGGCGTAGAGCAACGCCAGGAAACAGTCAGCCCCACAGACGTCTCCAGACCCTCGAGAACGGTCCAGCCCTTGCCTGACCTGGCCCTCTTTCCCTTCAGTGACTTCAGTCTGTGATGAGGAAGCACGTGGCTCAGTGGCCACCGACCTCAGGAGGAAGGGTGCTATCAAGGGAGAGCCACGCCCCGAGTGGACAGAGGAGGCCGAGGTTGCCGTGTGTATTTCTGACAAAAATGCGTTCAACAGGGTGCTTGGCCTCACTTTCTCTGTGGACACAGCCTCTGTCCTCGGAGAGAAAGACTCACCAGCAGCTCACCAGTCAGGGGGAGGGCCCGAGTCGGAGGGGCCACCTCACCCTTAAGTCCCCTCCCTCCCCCAGCCCCCAAGCCTTTTCTAGAAAAACTCCAGGCAGCAGCGTCCATGGAAGTGAGCCAGGGCTTCCATCAAAGATGCCCAGTGGGCTCCTCCAGAAAGGGCTCCCCGACTGTGGCGCTCCCCTAGATTTTATATTGCTTAAATACATACCTGGGGATGCCTGGACCCCCCCCCTCCAGTCAGAAGCAGCCTCTGTGTGCAATCAACAAGGCGCACCTTATCTTTTCAAAGGGAAGAGACCATACTCACAGCACATCCAGGGAAAGTCCACCGAGCTGGCCGCGAATCCGCCTTGCCTGCTCCACAGTCTACACTTCCATGGCCTCTTGGAAGAGTGGAGCCTGAGTGGCAGCTGGGGAGGCTCTGGGAGCAATGACCACGACACCTCCTGGGGCCTTCCTCACCTCTGGAGGCCGTGGCGTGATATTGTACTGGCCACACCCGCTGGGCTGTGGCTGCCCTAATGAAGTCCACTCACTTCTTTTGCAACGACTCGGTTTCCCAATCGCTGGCTGGGTATGAGGCTGGACTATCCTACAAACAGATCAGCCCGTCGTCCTGGCGGTGAATGTTCAACCCAAGCATCGTCACTGCCGTCCCTGGAAAGAGGCTGGCAGCTGGATTTCTTGGGATCATTCCCATTCACCCCTCGTTGTTCTCATTTGCTATTTTTCATGGGCTCCAAATTGTCGTCTCTGTTACCTCAGCTCACAGGGAGTCCTTTTGAGGAAGAGGATCCAGGGGAGATGGACAGACAGATCAAAGGACAACCTCTGCTGGGGACAGCAGGAATAAAAACTTCTCATGCACGTCTGTGATCATTTGTGAAAATTGCAGATTATTTTCCAGTTGCACGTAGGTGGTGCTGGGGAGATGAGATGATGGTTGGGTTTTATGCCCACCCCCTCACATACACTTTTCTGTCTTTTCCAAACTGTCTTTAAGGAACAGATATTACTCAGAAGTAAGTTTCTGAAGACGTAATCTAAAACAAAACTCTCACCCTTAGTCTTACCACTTAGAGACAGAAAAATTGATGTCCGAGAACCGCCCCAAACCACTGACCCCGGCATGGACCTCAGTCTAGACTGGAGGCTGGAGATGGCAAGGGTCAAGGCCCGTGGGTCTGGGCCTCATGTCAGCTGGGACTGGGAGGATGAAGGTGATTGTCCCCCCGTGAGGTGTAAGTTAGTACCCAGAGACTTTGGCCGGAGGCTGCGGAGGTAGCCTGTGTTTTCTACAGTGTTGCTCTGGGTAGGTGTGATCGGACAGTCAGTTCAACGCATGTGCTTCAATTCTGTTTTGCCAAATGAGGCGAGACGTTATTCAAAGGCTCCTTCCCCATGTAGTGACGGAGGTGCCACGGAGGCCTCGGAGCGCCATGTGCGGGAATTTCCCTTCTTCGAGAATGTCGTTTTTAGTCAAAACATCACTTTCACCCCCCACGCTCTCCAGAGCAGGTGACCTTGAAGCCTGCTTGGAAAGAGGGGACACTGGTTCACTCCCAGGCCACAAACGGATGCCCTCATGGCTCGGCCCGGCAAAGTCACGGGACGCGCGGGCTCCGGGGCTGCAGAGCCAGCAGGTTCTCCTGAGGGCGACCCCCGAGGGAGGCCCTGAGCCATGCCGCACTCTCCCCGGCCCGGGGAGCCAGGCCTGTCAGCTGGGATGTGCAGGTCAAAGACGCCAAAGGACAGGAGGCCTCACGCTGTCCGGCTCTAGGCACCACGGCTGCTGCCAGGAACCCACCCCCAATGGAAGGACGGGCTGAGGCGAGGACCGGCGGTCCCACAGGGGTCGAGGTTGCAGCGTGGAGGGCCAGAGGCAGCGCGGCGGAATCCAGACCTGCACCCTCGGTTTGGAAAGGAAAAACTCGGCCCTCTAATGACAGGGCGAGGCCTGTGTGAGTCCCAGGGCCGGGCCCGCCCCAGACGCACTCCGCTCCAGGTCAAACGCCCACGGAGGCATGCAGGGAGAGGCAGGGAGGGTCCGCCCGCCGAGCCGCCCGGGCTGCACGGGGAGGTCGCCGCTCGGACAGCCCTAGCGTCCAGGCCAGGCACTGAATCTCGGCCAAGAGGTGCCCACCCTGCCCGGGGGAAGCGCTCCGTGGGAGGCAGGTGTCCGTGGGGAGCAAAGGCAGAGGGATGCAGACCCCCCGTCCCCCACGCACCCGTCGAGGGACCTCAGTCTAGACTGAAGGCTGCTCCAGGAAGCTGCAGACGGGAAGGCTCAGTGCCGTGGGTTTTTGCCTGGTGTCCATCTAGGCTGGGAGGATGAAGGTGACTGTCCCCCTGCGAGGTATGAATTAGTGCCAGAGGCCCCGGCTGGAGGCTGTCGGGGAGGTAGCCTGTGTGTTTTCTGCAGCATTGCTGTGTGTAGGCGCGACAGGGAGCTAGACGTTCCCAGTTCTTCCCCCACCCTTTGGTTCTCACAGATGCCAGAAACAAGCCACACCCTCCCTCTAAGAGCTGGTCGGGTGGGAATGCAGGGGAGCACACAAGCCACACTGGGGAGGGCCAAGGCAGGGGGAGCTCTGCGGGGCGAGAGTTTGCAAGGGGCACGTGCTCAGGGTGACTTCGTAGGCGGGACACTCTTCGGCCAGGTTTTGAAGGATGAGTAGGAATTGTCTAGGTGAACACCGAGGATGAGGGGAGCATCGAAGGTCCGGCGTCCTGGAGAAAGTGAGCAACTGATCTGCTGCCTCTATAAACTGTAAATGTGACCTTGGACTTCCGGCTCCTTGGCAGCAGCTTCCGTCCCAGGAGCACATTAAGGTCATACGGGAGCTTAGACATGCCCCGTTCTGAATCTTCCTCTTGAGATTTTGGCTCAGTGAATGGAGGTTGAAGCCTGGTGAGGGTGCTTGAAGAACCTCTCCTGGGGATTCGATGAGAGCCACTGTTGAGACTCTTGGCCCTAAGCAAGTAATTCCCGCCAGATGATTCCAGAATCACCCACGATGTCTCTAAAACACGGAGCCACTGGGTATCAAGAACGGTCACAAACTCCAGCAGCTCAGGCACTGGCATGAGACAAACACGTCGAGCCATGGGCCCGGCCAGAGAATCCCAGACCCGCATGGGGAGAGTCATTGGCAGGGGACACGGGGATCACTACAGCTCAGTGGGCAAGGAGGGGCTTCCCCGAATGGTGCTGAAACCCCTGGAGAGCCACGTGGGGAAGAGGGTACGGAGACCGCACTTCCTGCCCCACGCAAAACGTTCATTCAAGAACTCACGGGCCTAAATGGGTAAGGTATCGGACCGGGTCATAGGCAGTCACAGTTAACAACTCATCTAACCTCAAAGCCCACAGCTACCAAAACAACAAAGTTTTTAGGAAAGAAGATGGAAGACCATCATGACTGTGAGCTAGACAAAGACTTCCTGACAGTCTAAAGGATTCGCCCTACAACCGTTGATAAACTGAACTTGACGAACGTGCAGAACTTTGTTCATCCCAAATCAGCCACGAACGCACCGGGCCGGTCACAGGCAGGGTGTGTGCTCACGGTACCTGTGTCTGACAAGGACTCGTGCCGACTCCGGACGTGTCAACCAACCAATGGGAAAAGACAACTTAAAAATAAGCGAACCGAACAAACCCTTCGCAAGGAAGATCTCCAAACAGCCAATGAGCATCTGAAGGCATGCCCAGCATCTCAGGCATCGGAAATACGCAAAACAAAACCACAGCACCATCCCACGACCCCCCGGAGAAGGGCTGCAGCTCAAGCAAGGTGTGGAGCCGGTGGGATTCTCACCATCGCGGCTCTGCAGGCTGGCACCACCATGCGGGAAAATGGCTTGGCAGGACCTGTCAAGGCTACAGGCATGCTCGCCCTTTACCCCGTAAGTGGTACCCAGGGCATCTACTCAACAGAAACGAGGGCTTGTGGGTTCACGAAGACACGGACCGCCTACTACATAGCCTTTATGTGGTAACTCTAAAGGAAAACAACCCACATGCCCATTAATGAGAAAAAGACAGAGAGACAGAAAGAAAGACACATACAAACAGAGGAGATAGACAGAGACAGAGACAGAGAGACAGAGAGAGAAAGAGACAGGTAGAGAGAGAAAGACAGACAGAGACACAGAGACAGAAAGAAAGACACACACAAAGAGAGGAGATAGAGAAAGAGACAGAGAGAGAGACAGAGAGAGAAAGAGACAGGTAGAGAGAGAAAGACAGACAGAGACACAGAGACAGAAAGAAAGACACACACAAAGAGAGGAGATAGAGAAAGAGACAGAGAGAGAGACAGAGAGAGAAAGAGACAGGGGGAGAGAGAGAGGCAAAGAGAAAGACAGAGACGGAGAGACCATACAAAGAGAGGAGATAGACTGAAAGAGAAAGAGACAGAGAGAGAGACAGAGACACAGAGAGACAGAGAAAGACACAGGGGAGAGAGAGAGACAGAGAGACCGAGATGGATTCCTAGCCACCATCCCAGACCACACTTCTCGTTTCCCTGGGTGACGCAACTGCCCTCTAGTTTTTAAAGGACTCCCAAACAACCCTCAGGACAGACAGCTGTGGGCACCAGCGATCAGGAGTTTGAGACACCGCAAAGCCAGAGTCCTGTTAGACCCAATTAAACTGTGCCTCTGCGCAGTAAGACCTCAGCTCATGAAAACGGCACTTGATTCAAGGAATTCAGCTCCAATTGGGGAGCTTAATCAAGAAATAACTTGAAATCAAGAAATGACTTAAAATCAATAAATCATTGCTTTGAAGGGAAAGCGAACATTTTTAAGCCATCTTCAACAAGATCCTAGGCTACCGTAATCAGCCTTTAGTACAAAATGTCAAAAATCTTCCCATTCAAAAATCCAAGCAAATAAGGAAATAAAAAGGAGAAAAATGGAAACACGTCTTAAGAAATTAGGAAGCATTCTTTAAATAACGAAAACCCAAAATGGCATCTCAGGACAACGGAGTAAAGGCGAACAATTCCATAAATGTTACCGGAAAACAAATTATTCCAAAAGTAACCCTGGAAAAATAAATTAAGACCAAAAGTACTGGAGGAAAATCTTTTTATAATGTGACAGCGGGGAGGAATTTCCTAAGCAGGACACGCAAGCCAGAACCACGGGGGAATGACGGACCGTCACGGCCGGCGTGATGTGTGGACTTGCTGGGGCCCACACCGGGGCGAACACGCCACACTAGAAGCCAGGCTCGAGACAGACGCGACTGCTCCCAGCCACCGAGAGCCCACCCCTGGGTGACGACCCCAGGCTCCTCACAGGCCCAGAGGAAAGGCGTGGGAGCGCCTGGTGGAGACACGCCAGGTGTCTTCCCAACCTTGCCCTTCCTCTTCAGCTCCGTCTGTGCGTGGCAGCTGCGGTTACTGATGGCTGGTGCGTAT